TCCTCCCTCCTCCTCCATGGACTCAAGTCCAGGTTCTGTCACTCTACTGCCCAGCATGCAGCAGGTGGCAGAGCTCTGCACTGGAGGGCTCTCCTCGGCTCAGCTGGGAATCCTGGACAGACCCACCTATCCCCAGGTTAGAGATGAGGAAACCGAGGCCCAGGGCTGCCCGGCTTTCCCAGGCCTCAAAGTTAGCCACCTGTGCCCTCAGGCCTCCATGGGTCTCCATGCATCCACACAGCCTTCCTGTTTTCTCAGCATCCTGACATAGCGCCACATCCAACAAGCCACATCCACACCGCCCTCACCCAGCCTCCCTTGACAATCAGAGCGGACGCACTGGCAGGAACATCTGGAAGGGCCAACCTCCACATCAGGCAGCTCTAGAAGCTGCTTTTGTGTTAATTCAAGACTAATTTTCTGGTACCCAAGAAGGAACCAGGAGCAGGTTCTTTTCTTTCCCAACCAGATGGGCTTTAACAGAGAACACACGTGGCTGGCTGCCCCCCAGCACCCCAGCCCAAGGGAAGGGAGACACTGTCTCTCTCCCCTGGAAGAGGCAGACTGGACTCTGGGCTTCAGTGCTGCAGCCAGGGGTTCCTGAGGATGGCTCTGCTTTGTGAGACGGAGATCTGTCAGCTGATCCTGCAGACACCTGAGGGGCCCTCTCCAACCTGGAGCAACAGGTGTATCGCTGTGGCTGGGGTTGGGATTCCCACGCCCAGGGCCTCTGCCTGTACCGAAATAGTAGAATATGTGCCCAGATTCAAAGGACTACATCAACCCATTCTCAGTCTGTGGTTAACTCAAGGCCAAACACTTCAACTAACACAGGAGAAAGTCTTGTATAATACAAAGGGGCAAAGAGCAGGAGGATCTGACAGTGAGGAGGGGGCCCTTCTTGGTGATGGAAAAGGCTTTACAGTGTTTTGTTCTGTTTTTAGAGACAAGGTCTTGCTCTGTCACCCAGGCTGGAGACAGTGGCGGGATGATGGTTCACTGCAGCCTTGCCTTCTACTTCCTGGGCTCAAGCGATCCTCCCACCTCAGCCTCCCAAGTAACTGGGAGTACGGGAAGGAGCTGCTGTAATCTGTAATCAGCTGGCCTTACAGTGTTTGAATGATTGATTTGCTCCCCAAAGTGGGGTGTCTGGTTTTCCAACTAGCTTCAAACTCTTAAACCAGGGGTTCCAGCTCAGGGGCAATTCAAACCCAGTGGGCGATGTTCGGAGATATTTTGTGTTGTCACAGCTGGGGCACTGGGGAAGGGACGTTACTGGGTCTGATGGCCTTTGGATCCTACAATGCACAGGGCAGGCCCCACCACAAAGAGTGAAGTGGTCCAAGCTGTCAGGGGTCCCAAGACTGAGAAACTCCAAATGAGTGGCTCCTTTAAGGCACTACTTAAGATAATAAATAATGTACATGATGGAATGGGTACACTGTTTCTGTCTGGGATGCTGAGTTCTAGAGGCGGATAGTGGTGAGGGCCGCACACTGAGTGTCAGGTGCACTGTCCGTGACGTGTTCCCACATTCTCCCGTACACAGCACCACGCAGAGTGAATGTGCACTTCAAGTGGCTAAAATAAACATTTTGTGTTATTGATCTTTTAACCATAAAAAATCTATGATGCATCAGATATAATGATATCACAAACAATGATATGTAATTACATAATTTTAATTATTTCACAAAGTTGCTTGTTCAGCAAGTACCAACTGCAGTTATCACCCACGGCAGCAGCCCCATCCTTACCCCCATCTGCCTGGTGAGCAAGCTGAATGGAGGGCAACCCAGTGGACTTGCTCAGGGCGCCTGGGGAAGGGAGCCCCCGGGGTGGGCAGCTAGGTTCCTAAGAGCCGCGCCTCCCGAGCTGACCTCACCAACCCCACCAACCCCAAGGCAGCCTTCAGGATATCTCACTCAGCAAAGGTCACTGAGCAAGCGCTGGGGATGCAGAAGGGACCAGGCGGACAGAAACCCTGGCTTCTGGGAGCCCAGGCCATGGTGGGAAGACAGAAAGTGGACCACGGATAAAACCAAAAGGACAAACTGGAGGACCCGTCAGGTGGCAAGCGCCATGGAGAGACGCAAAGCACAAGAAGGGGAGAGGGACCAGCCGGAGAGCAGAGGGAGAGCCCCACCCATCCCAGGGAGAGGGTACCGCGCCAGCAGCCAGCAGCCCCTATCTTCCCCTGCTCCCCAATCCAAAAACAGGCCTGGAGCTCTGCCCCAGATCCCAGTCAACCTGCTGTGTGTTCACAGGCAAGCTGCTTAACCTCTCTGTGCCCAGTTTTCCCTTTTGTGAAAAAGAAAAGATAAAACCTACCTCTGGTGCTGCCACGAGGATTAGGGAGGCGTCGAGTGTAAACGGCTCAACACCCTGCCAGGCACACCGTGAGGGCCAGGGAGGGCAGCACTTCAGTCCAATCAAGAAAACAAGGGGGCCGGGCGCGGTGGCTCAAGCCTGTAATCCCAGCACTTTGGGAGGCCGAGGCGGGTGGATCACGAGGTCAAGAGATCGAGACCATCCTGGTCAACATGGTGAAACCCCGTCTCTACTAAAACTACAAAACATTAGCTGGGCATGGTGGTGCGTGCCTGTAATCCCAGCTACTCAGGAGGCTGAGGCAGGAGAATTGCCTGAACCCGGGAGGCGGAGGTTGCGGTGAGCCGAGATCGCGCCATTGCACTCCAGCCTGGGTAACATGAGTGAAACTCCGTCTCAAAAAAAAAAAAAAAAAAAGAAAAGAAAACAAGGAAGCCAGGATGGCACAGAGGCACACTCCCCAGCTTGGGGGCCTCAGGACAAACATTGCCAAGTGTCTATTCTCATGGGCATGATTTCACATGTAACCGCCCGGAGGAGCTTCCCCGGTGCGTGCATATGAGACAGACAGACAGATATTCTCCAGAAGACATAACATTCCAGCCAGGCAAGACATTCCCAAGGACACCCCAGCTTCTCAGCCCACACTGAGCCCCATGCTGCGCATCCCACATTTGGTGACCTCACTAGGCTCCCTCACAAGGCCTCCCTTAGCTGAGCTGAGCACATCAGCGTCACCCCCCAACTGGACTAACCTTGGCTGGAGCTCACTGCACTCCCCCAGCCCTTCCTTCTCCCACCTGATGCAGTCCAGGAAGCCTCAGGGGGACTCAGGACACCTTCCTCGTTTGAGCTAACTTGAGACCGCCTGGTTTGGGTGGGGCTCCGCACCCCGCAGCTGGTCTGAGAAACGGGGTGGGGCACTAGAGCCTGCGAAATCCTTTGAACCCAGAGCCCCTTAAAGGGGTCCAAAATCTAGAAGCCCAGGAATTAAAAATGGCACAGCCGCTTTGGAAGGCAGTTTGGCAGCTTCTTAGAAAACTAAATACGCCCCTGCCACACGGCCCAGCAATCACGCTCTTTGCTGTTTACTTAAGGGAGCTGAAAACGTATGTCCACATAAAAACCTACACATGGGTGTTTATAGCAGCTTCACTCATGACTGTCAAAACTTAGACACAGTTAAGACGTCCCTCAGCAGGTGAATGGATAAACTGTGCTACATCCAGACAATGGAATATTATTCAGTGCTAAAAAGAAACGCGCTATCCATGGAAAGCCATGGGAGGAGCTTCAGTGGATATGACTAAGTGAAAGAAGGTGATCCTGCAGGAGAGAGGGATGAACCAGCAGAGCACAGAGGAATTTGGGGGGGGGCAGGGACAGGGCACTGCTCTGTGTGATGCTACAATGGCAGAACAAGCACGTGGTGAACTATGAACTATGGGTAATAACGATGTGGCCATGTGGGTTCATCAATCGCAGCAGATGCGCCACACTCACGCAAGATAATAACGGGGGGAATAGGGACAGCAGGGGCACGGGAACTCGCCGTACTTACTGCTCAATTTTTCTGTAAACCTAAAGTGCTCTAAAAAGTAAAGACTATTAAACAAACAGCAGGGCCGGGCGCGGTGGCTCAAGCCTGTAATCCCAGCACTTTGGGAGGCCAAGGCGGGTGGATCACGAGGTCAAGAGATCGAGACCATCCTGGTTAACATGGTGAAACCCCGTTTCTACTAAAAATACAAAAATTAGTTGGGCATGGTGGCGCGTGCCTGTAGTCCCAGCTGCTCGGGAGGCTGAGGCAGGAGAATTGCCTGAACCCAGGAGGCGGAGGTTGCGGTGAGCCAAGATCGCGCCATTGCACTCCAGCCTGGGTAACAAGAGAGAAACTCTGTCTCAAAAAAAAAAAAAAAAAAACAGCAACAACAACAAAAACCTTTTAAAAAAATCTAGAACTCAGGGTCAGGTGTGGTGGCTCACACCTGCAACCCCACCATTTTGGAAGGCCGAGATGGGAGGATCACTTGAGCCTAGGAGTTCCAGACCAGACTGGGGCAACATTTAGTGAGATCCCATTTCTACAAAATATTTTTTTTTAAATTAGATGGTGGTATGTGCCTATAGTGCCAGCTACTCAGGAGGCTAAGGCGGGAGGATCACTTGAGCCCAGGGGGTCAAGGCTGCAGTGACCTATGTTTGTGTCACTGCACTCCAGCCTGGGCAACAGAGTGAGATCCTGTCTCTAAAATGAAGATTAATTAATTAATTAAATAAATATAAAAATAAATCTAGAACCCAGGGAAGATAACAGAACACGGTAGGTGAGGAGCACAACCAGCAGGGAAAGCGGCCTCGCACAGAGCGAATCACAGCCACTAGCCCCTCCCCACCCCACAGGGGCTGGCACCACCACCCTCCAGGAACCTAGGGAGCCCTGGGATTCCATAGCATCACCCACTCCACCTGGAGTCTGGCAGCTGTTGGCTCACAATGGCCCCCAAGTCTGGGCTCTGCCACCTCCACCCCCTTCCCTGGCCCAAGACCCCATCATCTTTCCCCTGGGCCTTGGCACAGCCCCTACCTCCCCCCACAGCCACTGTGGGCCACACTGCTCTACCTCCACCACCCTTTGCACGCAGGCCCTGGGACAGGACAGTTTCTACTGGAGCAGGACCTGGACAAGAGGGAGTGCTCCGCAAATAGTTGGTGGATTTTCTAATGAATGAACAAACCCACAATTCACTGCACAGATGTTATCATCTGTATTCTCTAAATGGGGAAACCAAGGCACAGCCCAAGGTCACCAAGCCTGTGAGCATCGTCAGGAGAACTGACTGCTGGCCTGCGCTAAGCACAGTGCCATGTTCTCCCCTGCGCCCCGTGAAGCCAGTGGCGGGTGAGATGGCACTGTCATCGCAGGCCACGCCCTCCTTTCCAGAGGCCCAGTCTCCAAATCAAGGAAGTACAGCTGACTCCCCAAGGCCTTCGGAGGCGGGCTGATGGATGGAGTGTTTAAGCCATAACTGTTTTCACTAAGTGTTCATTAACTTAAAGATTGCAGAAGACCCGTTAGGCCGTTCCATTGTCATTCAAAACCAGCAGCTCCACAACCACCTCCTCAGTCCATGGGGTCTCCCACACACCTCCTTTCTTCTCGCCCTCCCGTGGGAGCCTCCAAAGCTCACCTCTACCCACTGCCACCGCTGGTTATCTAGATGCCATGAGGGGATGCTAGCCGTGCAGCCAATGCCATCCAAGAAAAGGTCAATGGGGCCTGCTTGCTGTGGTGCTCATTGGGAGAAGTTTCTGCATATACAATTATTAATGACTTTATTTATATACCAATATTTAGTTCTGCTTGCAATTAAGCAGATCTGCTTTCAAAATATGACTAATTAGAACAGTCAAGCTGGCAGGGAGACTTCTGCAAGGAATCACATCGTTCTAGCAAAAGTTGCGCCTGCCAGAGGCAAAACCAGGTGCTGGATCCCAGGAAACAGCCTTGGCTATCCAGGTCTGGAGAAGGTGCCTAGCAGGGCTGGAGGAAGAGGGGAAGGAGGAAGAGAAGACAGAGTAGTGGGAGACAGAAAAGAGGTGAAAGCGGGGAGGAGGAGGAGAAGAGGGTAGAAGGAAGGAAAGTTGCACCCTCAAGCCCAGAGGCCTAATTTGTATGATACTAGTTAATGACATTCTCTGGCCTGACATTTGCTGCTGGAACATTTGCTGCTGGACATTTGCTGCTTCCAACATTTCTGGTTGGAAGCCAACCAGAAAGGTACAGGGCTGCCTAATTCCAGGTCGACATTTCGAAGGCAGCCAGAGAAGAGGCACCTACGCAGTGATGCAGAAACACAGATATACACGACGGGCTGATGTGCGACACTCGCATCCCTTCCCGAATGGCTCTGTCCTCACGAAACTCCGCTGAGTTCTGTCCAGTAGGGGCATGATTTTCTCATCTTTAACTGAGTGACAATTTTTGGTCAAAACAGGTGCATCTGGCAAAGGCAGCCAAAGCCCATGTTCCTAAGGGGATCTGCGCAAGTCCCAGTGTCCCAGGCTGCCTGAGACGCAGCGACCCCGCTGGTGCCTGAGTCTACCATCAAGGGCTGACGCTCCGCTGCCTCTTCCGACTCCAGCTCTGTACCAGGCACTGTGCAGGGACTGAGGACACAGAGACCACGACAGCCCAGAAGCTCACCTTGGCACTGGCCCCACGGTCCTCCTGGCGGGGTGCACGGAGTGTGGAAGGAGAAAGCCACATTGCCCTGGGACCCGGGGGACAGGCCCAGCCCAGGGTTTTGAGATTTTGAAAGCTTTGCGGGTTTGAAGGAAGAGAATGGTGAAGGGGGTCCTCTGTGCTGAGCAACACATGTGGTGGGGTGAGGAGTCCCCAGTGCTGGGCAGTGCCGAGGCCACCCAGCCCTCACAGCAGAGGCTGCGGTGAGAGGTGTGGGGACTGTGGATGGCCAAGGTCTTTCCTAACCAGCGGCCTCAAGCTGCACCCATCCCTCTCTCCCTGCCTCCTACCCTATTTGATCTTCCTGTATGGTACCCACTCAACAGTCCAATCCACACCGAGCTCCCCTGCCCATCTCTTTGTGGCCAGGCTGCTCACTGGAGTGGAGGCCTGGACAGGGCCCAGGCCACGCACAGAGCCAGGCAGTCAGAACACCCAAGCGTGGGCTGTGTGCGTAAGGCGGTGAGAAAGGAAGATTTCAAACCTATCTGCAGCCCACGGGAGGCCTAATCTCAAAGCCCCCCGGGGCCCAGCAGGACCCTGAGGGAGGGAAGCTGGGGACTTTCCCACAGGGAGGGAAGCTGGGGTCCTCTCACAGAGGGGTCCTCCTGAGGCAGGCAGGGCATTGCTTTGTTTTCAAGGCAAGCTGGAAGTCTCAGGTTTTATGTAAAATCATTGGATTTGTAAATATTGGCAACTAATTCAAGTTGGTTAAGCAGATGATCTATCAGCTGGGTGTGGCCCAAGGAACCCAGTTTGCCAACTCAGAGGGAAGGGAGAGTGAGGGACAGATTTTTCAGAGGAGAGGGCATGGCACTTGATTTGTATATAGAAAGATCAGCCTGACTAGCTATAGCAGACACTGGGGAGGCCACCCAGGCCCCCTCCAGGACTCTGTCCCCTGTCCCTGCCTGCCAGGAGTGCTGCTGAGGGCTCCCAGCTGAGTCCCACTTGGGGACTATCCTTGCCCAAGGTCACACCTCCTCCCCCAGGGGCTACACACAATGTCCTATCGATGTGGAGGGACAAAGGGCAGTGCCCTGGCCTTGATTAGGGACACAGCATTCCCAGCTCCAGAGCTCTGGTGGCACTGGCTATAGGAGGCCTCTGTGGAGAACACGCCATGCCCCGATGCCCCCTCTACCCATCCAGCCCCTCGCATGAGTGTTGTGCCCAAGAGCCTCCTGTGAATCCCCTTCCAAACAAATCCCATCTTAGAGCTGTTCCCAGGGAGCTCAACCCAAGACAGCAAGCAAAGCCCCAAGTCTCCAGAATCATGTCCCCTGCCCTCTGCTCCCATCCGCCTCATCCCCCACCCCCATCATCACATGTGCTGCAAGGAGCTGGTGACCAATCTGTCCCCTGAGCTCCAAGGACAGAGCCAGGGATGCATGGTCCCCGAGAGCTTACAGAGCGGAAGCCTCATCCCAAAGTTCCCAATAAATCTCCCCTTGACAATGTACCCGTGAAATTCACAAAGCTCAGTGCCTTCCATAATTTACGGCACTCACAGCTACAAGCCTTGTTAGGCATGACCCTGGGTGGCTGCGTCCGTGGCAGGTGAGCCAGAAGCCAGCGTAAAAATGCCATGCTCTGGGATTTTATGGATTTGTAAAATATCTGCCCAGTTTTTTCTTAGGCAACTTTCATAAATCAGTGCACTTGACATCTTGGGAAAATCAGCAGCTCCTGTAAGAGCGTGAAGCCATGTTTGCACTCACCGCTGCAAACTCAGGCAGCAGGAACAAGCACCTTTTCATGTGGCCGTAAAGCCAGACTTGGAGCAGGCTAGCTCCCTGGAGGGCTGGACGCTCAGGAGCCATGAGGCCCCTGGACCTGAGCCACACTTCCTCAGGTGACCAGGTGAGTCCTGAGAGGACAATAACAGCCATAGTAACAATGGACCACATATTATGCACTGGAGTCTGTGTGCTCAACACTTTCATGTCTCCAACCTAAGCAGGATGAAGACCTTGTCTCAAAAATAAATAAACACATACATAATGAAAACTGTTCTCAAAAAAAGGAAGTGAAGGAGCAAGCCTGTCCCTGTCCCTCTTGGGGTAGGAGCCGGCACACTGGAGGAGCCTGTGGCTACCCTGAAACCATTCCTGTCTTTGCCCATCATTTCTCTGCCCCAGTTTTCTGTTGTGTAAAATGCAGATAGGAACAACTGCCTTGGGGGTTAACCGGGGACGGAGTTCATAGACCTAGAAGGACCTGGCACATCACCCCCAGCACCCAGCAAACACAGTTCCAGGTATGTTCTCCTAGAAGAACTGAAAGCAGGGTCTTGAAGAGGGATTGGCACACCCCATGAGCATGGCTTCATTCACAATGGCCAAAAGGTGGAAACGCCCAAGTGTGCGGCGACAGGTGACTGCATAGACAAATGTGGTCTGTCTACATGATGGAAGATTACTCGGTCTTGAAAAGGAAGGAAATCTGACCCATGCTGGAACACGGGTGAACCATGAGGACACTGTGCTGAGTGAATAAGCCACTTACAACAGGACAAATATTGCAGGCTTCTCCTTGTGTGCAGTCCCTAGAGCAGTCAAGTTCACAGACACAGAAAGGGGCTGGGGGAGGGGCACTGGAGTTAGGGTTTAATGGGAGCAGAGTTTCAGTGTGGGAGGATGCTGAGTTCTGGAGCTGGGTGGTGAACGCGGTTACACAACAATGTGAAGGTTCCCAGCACTTTGGGAGGCCAAGGTGGACAGATCACTTGAGGCCAGGAGTTCGAGACCAGTTTGGTCAACATGGTGAAACCTTGTCTCTAATTAAAAAAACAAACAGGAATTAGCAGAGTGTAGGGGCACATGCATGCAGTCCCATCCCAGCTACTTGGGAGGCTGAGGCATGAGAATCGCTTGAGCCTGGAAGGCAGAGGTTGCATTGAGCCAAGATCGTGCCACCACGCTTCAGCCTCCGTGATGGAGCGAGACCCTCTCTCAAACAAAGCAAAACAAAACAAAACGCCAATGTGAATGCACTTAATGCCACTAAACTACACACTTAAAAATGGTGAAAAGGTGAATTTTATGTTATGTGCATTTATCACTATTTTTAAGAATAAAATAACCCTCCTTTGGGAAAGAAAGGATACTTTTTTTTAAGTAGGTGCTCACCCAGTGACCTGTCCCTGCCAGCCACCCCGTTGCCCTAAGGCTAGAGTGGGGCCTGGAGCACAGGGCTGGTTGCACACTTGCTGGTGACTCGGCCAGGCTCTCTGTCCCTCTGAGCCACAAGTCATCAACAAGAAAGTCTCCCGGTCCAGCCAGTCTCTGGATTTGTGTCCTTGTCCCTGCGCCTATCTGCCTGGGAGGCCAACGTGCACAAACCAGTACCATGAAGGCTTTGCACAGAATCATCGAGATCAAAAGATTTGCTGGAGTGGATATAAATAGCCCCCAAGCTCCTGGCCTGGGCTTCTGAGCTGGGCAGTGCCAGCCAGGCCACTCGCCCTAGCCAGCCTGGCTGGAAAGTCCCCTTCCCTGGAGTGGCCGCTCCTCCAAGCGCAGCCTCCTGTGTTCTGCCAGCCTCCAGTTCAGGCTTGTGTCTCCCACCTGCCTCACTGCCCATCACAACTTCTCTCCAAATTCAAATCGGTTTTCCAGTCCAGGCAGACTCACCAGGCCCTGGCCTGCTCATGGAAAGCATCTGGCTGCCGTGATACCCACCGGAGGCTAAGGATTCTAAGGAGACTAAGGGCAGTGGGACACATGCAGTAAAAACGCGGCCTGCTGCATGCTCTCCTGGGTCTCAGTCTTGTGTTTGCCTGGGTTCCTATACTAATTCTCATCAGTCTCCAAGTCAACCTGCAAGGGATATCATCTTCAAAAGGTAGCATTTTCTGACAGGTGCCCGGCACCCCTCTTCCCCTCACCCCACCTCCTTTCCTCATTCCCTCTGGCTCCCTCCCACCATGTGGCACCCCTGGGGGACTGGCTTGGCGTCTCAGGGCTCCAGCATCATTCTGCAGGTAGGCTGGCACTCAAGGCAGGCCTGGCAGGCTTGCGAAGCAAGTGAATGGGTGAATGAATCAATCACTAATTCAACAAGCAGGAGGAGGGAGGAGGAGAGGGCGGGAGGGCCAAAAGGGGCCAAACGCATACAGTCTCTGCCTCTCTAGGGGGACTGTCGCCCAATCTACTCCTTCCCTCTCAGTCTCTGGTTCTCTCTCCCCTCCTCTCTCTGTCTTCTTTCTGTTCCTCTATCCCTATCTCTCTTCCTCTCTCTGTCTCTATTTCTGCGTCTCTCCCTCTCTCTCCGTTTCTGTCTCTCTGTGTGTCTCTCTGTATCTCTGTCTCTCTGTCTGTCTCTGTGTATGTGTGTCTCTCTCTCTGCAGATGGCTGAGGGCAGACAAACAAGAAGGTGGGAGCTGCAGCCTGATGCCCCTTCTCCCCCTGGAAAGCAGAGCAGCACTATTTCCAGCCCCTGAGAAGTGGCCGGGGTCCAGAAGGTCTGGCCATGTGTCCCCCCCAACCTGTCCGAGTGAATCAAGTCTGCCTCCTCCTCGGCCCATGCAAGGCAGCCTCACTGGCCCATAGGCTCCTCCCCTGCGAGATCCTGCTGGCCCCACCACAGCTAGATGCTGCCCTAACTGTGACAAGACGCCCAGCACTCCCTAGGATCAGGACCCGGCCCTCAGCAGAGCCTCTGCCTGGGCATGGGCACCGCGTGAAGCAGCACCGGCCCTCATCCGCTAAGCAGCTCAATTCACCATCCCAATATCTGGGCCTCAGGGAGACCCACCTCCACCCCTATACCCTCAAACTCTGAGGCTTCAGGCTCCCAGAGATGAAGTACAGCCGCAAAATCACTCTCAAGATAACCTTAGGGTCATAATCAACACAGAGAGACCAAAACCAAATACATAAACACAGGCTGAAGCCCATGGTTCCTTCTCTCAGGCAGGAGTCTGGTGATGGGCAATCCAGGCTGCATGGGACAGTCCCTCCAGGTTACCAGGGTATAGGCTTCTACAGGCTCACAGCCCCCTCATCCCTGGTACAGCCACTGCCCTCACAATACAAAGTGGCAGCCTAAGCCCCAGCCATCACATCCTCATTCCAGCCAACAGAGCAAGGGTCAAAGGACACAACACTCCTTTCTCAACGTACTTTCTGGAAGTTGCACAGCATACTATTGTTTACCTCCTACTGGCTACCACAGAGTCACACAGCCACATGTAATCACCAGAGAAGGGCAGTCTTTATTCTGCTCCATGGGCATTTAAAAAAAAAAAAAAAAAAAGCCATTTTATTGCAAAAAAAAAAAAAAACGAAACCGGATACCAGGAAGTAGCTGTCTTAGCCACACACCCATCCCCATCTAGCGCAGGACTCCCGTTCACCTCCGAGACTCCTGTTGTTATTTTCCCTTTCTCTGTATCTGAAATGGTCACCACCGAGGCCCACTACGGAGCTAGCGCTTTCACACCCGTAGCACTGGCTGGGCCTTGTCTGAGGGAGGCACTCTTCTTGTACCCATTTTCCTGGTGAGGAAACACTCCCCCGCAGCTCAGAGTGGAGCCAGTATCCAAACCCAGACTGCATGCACCCACCACCTCCACAATTTTGTCTTAGTCAAACTATATCAAGCAGCCTGAGACACAGCTTTCCCTGGAGGACTTGAAAGTACGGAAAATGCCCAAGGACTCAGCATGGGTCTAACTAGTCCAAACGCCAGCCTCTTACAGGGCTCAGCCTGCAGTGCAGCTGGGCTGGGGGAAGCCCACAGGCCCCTGAGCCCAGACCTGGGGCAGGGACTTTCTCATTAAGTCAGGAGGCTCAGGGAAGCCCACACAGTGTGCACAGAACAGCAGCCAGCAGCTTCCATGATGGAAACGAAGCAGCTTTTTTCAATAAAATCAAGCAAAGGAGAACTATTTAGGGAGAAATACGGAAAACTGCTGAAGCTGTCACCTTACGAAGAAACCAAAAGCCAACCCTCTCCAAGGGAGACCCTACATGCTGAATCCCCAGGGTCCCTGAAGGATAGTAAAAAAGTGGGGGCTGGGACAATTTGGGGTTCACTGTCCTTCCTAACAACCCTCCCTGCCTCCTCCAGCCCAGGTGGTCCTTCCGGCAAGCTCTTATCTCAGCCCCCAAAACAGGGGGTGCTCGAGGGGCGCATCTGCTTCCCCACCAGGCTGTGAAGTGGAGGGCAAGAATGCCCTGAGCCCCGGCTACACCCCAACTCCTGGCTGTACCCCTAACCCCTGCACACATCTGCACATAAGAGGCTCCATAACTGCTTACTCAATCGGACCTTGCTGTGGTCTGAATGTCTGTTTCCTCCCCGCAAAGTTCACGTGGTAAAATCCTCACCCCCGAGGTGATGGTATTGGGAGGCAGGGTCTCTGGGAGGCGATGTGGTCATGAGAGCAGAGCCCTCCTGGTTGGGATAAGTACTTTATGAAAGAGGCCCAGAATGCTCCTCACCTCTCCAACCACGTCAGGACAGCGAGAAGGCACCATCTATGAAACAGAAAGCACAGCCCTTGAGAGACACTGGGCCTGCTAGCACCTTGACCTTGGACTTCCCAGCCTCCAGAACCACGAGAAGTAAACGTCTATTGTTTATAAGCCACACAGTGTGGGGCATTTGTTACGGCAGCCTGCATGGCCAAGGACAGACCTAGTACCAGTTCAGTGGACATAAAAGAAACTACATTTTACAATAAAAACAATCCACACAAAGAAGAGAGGCTGACATTCTGATGATATAAAAGCCGCGTTTTCCATTCCTCTTGTTGCCTCCAACCAGAGAGGACTGAATTTTTGGCATCTGATGATTGAAAATCTGGGAAAACAGAGATTAACCAGGTCCCCCAGTCCTATGCCCTTCTGGGGCCAGAGTCAGCAAATTTCTTAAACAAGAGAGCTGTGCCCCCTCAACCAGCTCTCCTCCAGACCACCACGTCCTCTGTCAGCCTGGAGCTTTCACAATTTGGGAACCACCCTCTGCAGAGACCAAAGAGACATGGAGGCCAGGTCCTGTCACTGCCAATGCATAGCCCTGGGCAGAGCCCAAGAGCTCAGCCAGAGGAGGGCAACAGGGCCACACCAAGAGCACTGGTTTGGGAGTCCCACAGACCAGGTCCATGTCTGGCCCTTGCCACCTACTAGCTATACAACTCCAGGCAAGGGCTTCACCTCTTTGAGCCTCAGTTTTCTCATCTTCAGAATGGGGCTGCATGATTAAAAAAGGATCAGCCAGCACACAGCAGGTGCTTAAGACACACTTGCTTCAGCCCATCTCATAGAGGAGACTCTCATGCCAGGAAAGCTGCTGTCTCCTGGAGAAAGCAGTGAAGGCTCAGCTGTGGTCCAGGCCACTGCCACTAAACTTTCCAATGAGGCTCCCCTAACAGAAGGGTTGGGCAAGACCCGCCCCTCCATGAACCTGTGTCTTTATGTCCTGTGCAGATGAGACTGCACTGACATCATGAATATCCGTAAAAGGGCCCACCAAAAAGATGCTTAAGGAGGAAATTAAATAATAAGTGCAAATACAATCTCGATGTTTTTTTCCCTGCACCTCAAAGAATCGAGTCCTTCACCCCTAGGGGTGTGTGCATTCCATTCTGGAGACTCTCGTCCATGTAACAATCATCGATTCATTCAAAATATGTCACTTTAAATTTGAGCAGTTTGGTAGGAGGGCTTCCGAAGATGAGCAAGGTGTGGCTGCTGCCTGCCCCAGAGAGGGAAGATGCAAGCCCCCAGGGCCCCCAGTGGTAACCAGACAGGAAGCCTGCAGAGGGACAAGGGCTACAGGAATAAATATAGTAAACATAATGAGAAGACATTTATTCTAACACGTGTCAGCACCATGAAAGGTTCTGAGATCAGAGTCAGTCCTCAGAGGACGTGCAGGTTTCAAAAGGCAAGAACAGAGGTATGGGCCGGGTATTCCAGGCAGCGGAAACAGCATGAGGTGTGAGAACGGCAGGCATCCGGAGCAAGCTGCAGTGCAGGGGGTTGGGGCAGGCTACCAGCAGGCACTTGGCCACCGGCTCAGGGCGCCCTTGTGAGCAAGAGAGGCACTCAGGCCAATACTCCTGCCTCCAGGACGACAGCCAGGCAGGAGTGAGGCCACTTGGGTGTGCTTAGTGCCCAAGGAGAAGGTGGGACTGAGAAGGCAGCGCTCTCAGTGACTACAGCCATCCAAATCGCACTGCAGCAATGATTTTCTCTAGACCCCCTTTCCCTCTCTGGATGTTTTGGCTGCTTCACCATATGGCAGGAGTTAAAAATACAGCTCAGAGTGAGGGGGATGTGGACAAGAACGGGCAAGCATTCCTTGGGTGACTGAGCTGGGAAGTCCGGCCTACTCCCAACCCCCATTCAGGGCACAGGTCAGATCCCTGCCCAGGAAGCATCCTCAGTGCTCAAGCCAGCTCGTGGGGAGCGGGTGCTGGCCTCCTGATGAGCTGCGCTGCAGGATGAGAATGCCACAGACACAGCCACCCCTAAAAGTGATCCTCCACAGACAGGCAGGCTAAGCAGGGGCAGGACAGAGGCCAGATTCCAGGAAGAGAGAAGGGAGCTAGGCCTACCTGCGGGCAGGCCACTCTGGAACTTCTGCAGCCTTGACAGGGAGAAGTGACAGGGCCCAGTCTGAGCAAAGCAAATGTGGGAGATTAAGGACTTCTGCAAACTGTCCCTCCTTCTCCCAGGGAGGGGGGAGGCCAATTCCTCTACCCTTGAATTTGGGCTGGCCTTGTGATGTGCTTGACCATTAAGATGTGGCAGAAGTACACCTGGGACTCCAGAGGTCCAATCACAAGAAGCCTCACATCTTCCACACAGGCCTTTTAGAACATTGGCTCTGGGGCCCTAGGCCGCCAGGTTGGAGAAGCCACATGTGGATACTCTGGTGGCAGTCCCAGCTGAGTCCAGCCTCCCACACACCTCCATAAGGTGCCAGATGTATCAGTAAAATCGTTTTGGACCCTCCAGATCAGCCAACTGTGCAGATGAATACCGCCGAGTATTCCACTGAAAACATAGGGAACAGAAGAACCACCCAGCCAAGCACTGCCCAACTCTGGTCTGCAAAATGAGATATAATAAAATGGTGGTTGTTCTAAAACTAAATGTTTAATTAATTTGCTACAGGCCAACAAATAACCTTTACGGTGACTGAATGATGGATGAATTGACTTACTGATTCATTCATTCAATACATATTCATTAAAATCTACCCTGAGGCAGGATCCCTTAAAGAAATAGCAGAGTCAAATAATTCACTCTCCTGGTCCTCAGGAAGCTTCTGGGCTGGTTCCTTGGTGCCTACCCAGTTTGTGACAGGTCCACACCTGTGTTTGCCAGCTTTCTTCTCTGGGGCCTGCCACTTTCTGGGTTTCACTGTCAACATTCTCTGTCCAGATCCTGTCCCTGTCTTTATTCTCTCTGGGTGAGGATAAGGTTATGTGGGATGTTCTACCTCTAGAAGTTTTATTGTGCTCTAAAAGGTCCCCTATATACTAAAATAAACAAGGGGATTAAAATACTACACTAGAAAAATAGTTAACACAAAAGAAGGTAGTAATAGAGGAATACAGGAAGAAAAAAGATATAAGACACAAAGAATAAATGACAAAACTGTATATGTAAATCTCAACTTATCAATAATTATATTAAACGTAGATTAGACGCTCCAGTCAAAAGCAGATACTGGTAGAAGGGATAACAAACAGCATGATACAACTGTATTCTGTTTACAAGAGATTCCCTTCAGATTCAAAGACACAAATAGGTTGAAAATAAAAGGATGGAAAAAGATATATAAATAGTAACCAAAATGAGTTAAAATGACTGTCCTAAAATCAGACAAAATAAACTTTAAGACACACATTGTGACTAGGGACCGAGAAGGACATTTCATAATGATCAAAGGGACAATCCATCAAGATGACGCAACAATAATAACCATATATGCACTCAACAACAGAACCCCAAAATATATGAAGTCTTTAAATTGACAGAAATGAAGGAAGAAATTTCGAGACAATTAAAGAATAATTGGAGGCTGCATGCAGTAGCTCATGCCCATAATTCCAGAACTTTGGGAGGCCAAGGTGGAAGGATAACTTTAACACAGGAGTTCAAGACCAGCCTAGGCAACAAAGTGAGACCCCCAACTCTAAAAAAATTTAAAAAAATTAGCTGGGCATGGTGGTGCACACCGCTAGTCCCAGCCACTCATGAGGCTGATGGGGAGGATTGCTTGAACCCAGGAGTTTGAGGTTATAGTGATCTATGATTGCACCACTGCACTCCAGCCTGGATGACAGAACAGACCCTTTCTCTAAAAAGCCTATAATTAAATCAAAACAAAAATTAAATAAGAATAATAGTTGGAGACATCAATACCTCACTTTCAATAATAAACAGAGCAGGTAGGCAGACCAACAAGGAAATACAAGACATAAACAAAACTACAAACCAACTAGGCCTATCAAACATACACAGAACAGTCTACCCAGCAGCAGAAAACATTATTCTCAAGTGTACACAGAACATTCTCCAGGATAGACTGTATCTCAGTCCCTAAAACAAGTCTCAACAAATTTGAAAGGACTGAGATCACACAAAGTATGTTCTCTGAACAAAACGGACTGAACTACAAGTCCCCTAAAAATGTCTAGATGACAGCTCTGATAGGGATATGCCTGGCTGATCCTTGGTCACACCACCACCTTCCAACCACCCTTGCTTCGTTTTGCCTCTGTTCCCCCATATACACAATGGAGATAATGATACTCCCTACTTCACAGAGTATTGTAGGGCAAGTGCTTACACTAAATAGCCAGTCATCAAGGTTACTCTTATAACTCATTATCAATGGAGGGGTGGCAGCAACACCTCACATTCCATCCCTAGGTGACGGACAGTCATTCATACAATGTTACACTTTCAAGACGCCTTTGTTCCCATTATTTGATGTGGTTCATTGTAACCCCACAGGATCATCTGGTGAAAGGGAAAGTCGGTAGTGGTGAAGCCCCAGTACTAGGGCATCTGTTGAGTCCTTAATCGAGAGACTGGCTCACAGGAGGGCAAGCAGGCCAACCTACCAGTGAGGGCCAAAGGGGACGGTCAGAGTCACCTAGGTGGTGGATTTTTACATATCTTGAGGTTTAGGAACTGCTGAGCTGGGCAAAAGTAAAGCCTCACAGAAAGTAAAGACAGATGTGAGCATGTTGTGGGCTGTGGGAGGGGGATGGAACTTTCCAGACTCCTCCTTTTTTGTGGGGAGACCTCAATTCAATAAAATTAAGACTCCACAACTTTAAAACATGTGAAGAGACTGCAGCATTAAAGGGATTGAGATAACACATCTTACAAAGGATTGGATTCAAAATCAGCAGCAGTGACTATGCAGAGAAGTGGGTAGGTAACAGACATGTACTGAAACCCAAGTCTCAATCAAACCTGATTCTCAATTCCATGACTTTCTAAAATCACTTCCTTCTCAACAGAGAAAGAAGGAACAACAGTGATACAAGTGGCTCTGTGCACATTTATGTACATCAAGGATATAATCCTCACCCCTTCTCCAGGAGGTAGGCTTTATAACCCATTTTACAGGTGAGGAAGCTGAAGCAGAGAGGCTCAGCCACAGGCCAGAGAAGACATAGGTGGTACGTGGTGGAGGGAGCTGGGATTCAGGCTGCTGGCCTGGCCCCAGAGTCTGTGTCCTGCCTCCTGGCCACCGTGCTGCCCAAGTTCTCCGTGGGGAGCCTCACCCAGCACAAATACTCCACGGGGAGCCCCAGCCAGCCCAGGGGAAGTGAACATCCCTGCTTGGGCTGCTCCTCCCTCAAGGTGAAAGAGTGGGGTAGCCTGGGTGTGGGGAGCCTGAGGCAGAGTCCAGGGTTGTCGACAGTCCCTCACTCCCCATTTAAAGAACTCCCTGTTCCAAGAACTTCCTGTTCCAAGAACTGCTACAGGCAACTAAGACGGGCATGGCCCCTCCCACCTAGAGCCACTCCTCTCTGGTCCCGCTCCTCTCTCTCCTTCCCATCTGGACTGGCGATTGTGGGGGGAAAGAGAGGGTGGGGCCGTGTGCCTTCATCCCTAGCCCTGTCCACCCCAGCAGCCTCTGCCCAGGCTCCCAGCATCCAGTTCTGCAGCATCTCCTGAAGCCTCCCTCACCCTGGTACCCATGCCTGCCCCAGGAGCCAGAGATCCTACCCAGATCTAAGTCCCATCACTTCCTTCTCTGTTCAACAGCCTCCAGGGACTTCTGTCTCCCTCAGATCAAAGCTGAAGTCCCCAGTGGGCCCACATGGCCCTGCTGACTGTACGTCAGCCCTCGCCCCTACCCCATTCGCCTCCAACCTCCTCTCTCACACTGTCCCCCTCACTCTGCCCCATGCACACTGGTCCGCTCCCTGCACCTCAACCACGCCGCCAGGCACACCCCCCACTCAGGGCACCCTAAGTGGGAGATCCAGTTGTCACTGTCCCCGTAGCAGAGATGAAAAAACTGAGGCTCAGAGAGGTGCATTTCACATGCCAAGGGGAAGACAATATAAGCAGATTCCAAAATAAGCAGACTCTGGGACCCTCCTTCAAGTCCTATCTCCAGGTTTTCCCAGGCTACCCCCCAGGACCCATTGGACCCTGCAGCCCATCCATGAATCTCATCCACACATGTGCCCGCCCCCGGAAGGGTCCCTAGAGGCTGTCTCCCATCACTACTAGACACATGCTGAGGACTTCTCTCCTGAGCACTGAGGCCATCCAGGAAGCAGAGGATCCCACCCCGTACCTCGTCCTCACAAGGCCAGCACTCCACAGGCAGCTACAAATGACCTGCAGAGACCATCCCGCCATGCCGGTCCCAGGACATCCTCTGAGCAAGCCCTGTCTTCTGCCCTTAACAAGTGTGCTCCTGGGGTTCCCATGGAGCGGGCGGGGCCAGGCCCGTTGGTTCTCCAAAGGTGTAATGCTCTTCACACAAGTGGTACGCAGAGAAAGGACATCCAAACCACCACAGGCGCTTCCAGCAAAAGCTGGGGCAAAGTCAGAAGAAGGGGCACCCATCCCAACCCTCCTGTGCAACCATGTGTCCCACATGTGTCCTGCATGAATGGAGATGTGAACAGCAGCTTTCTGGAAGCTCAGCAATTGCTCACCTAAGCAGAGTGGGGAAGTCAGACCAACTCAGAGAGGAACACTGGGCACTGGCTGCTGGGTGCTGCACGGCTTAGAGCGCCCTCCCCGAGCTTACTGGCACCCACTGCCCATAGCAGCCCTGCCAGCTGGGTGCAACCACTGTCAGCTTTGCAGAGAAGGGACTTGGGCTGTCTCCAGGTGGTGCCAAAGCTACGTTCATTCTGGCTCATGAAGCCAAAAGTCTGGGGAGGGGACCACATTTGGAAATGGCCCCCGATGTTTTCAAAACATCTACACCGTGCAGTGAACAGCTCTGAAGTAGCCCGGCGTGGGGTGAACTGCACAGGCCCTGGAGGCAGACAGGCCTTGGTGTGAATCCCACCACTGCCACCGGGTGACCATGGGCAAACCACTTAACTTCGTTGAGTTTCAGGTTTCATAACTGCAAGATGGGATAAGGACAGTTCACACTTGTCACAGGGTTAGAGCATCAACAGAGATACGGAGAAGAACGTGCCCAGCACCTGGCACCTAGAACGGCCTCGGTTATTCCTGTGGCCTCATTGCAATCAACACCTTCTAAGTTCAGGTGCAGAACCACAGGCTCTAACCCATGCCTTTGTGGATCTTGCCTCCTTCAAGAGGGAAAGCCAAACACTTCAAAATCAGGACTCAAGCTAGGGCCAGCTTGGAGGGCAGGGGCCAGTCTTGTCCACCAGCCGTCTCAGGTCCAATATCTAGGTTCTAAGCAAGCCAAGTGCCCTGGGCTGGTCTGTGCCTGTCTTCCAGGCACCTGGCCCAGCTGCCTCAACCTGTTACCACCAACGACAGTACCACCAGCCCATCACACGCCCCATGTGCAGACACACAACGCACGCTGCTTCCCCTGCTGCGACACCATCCTCCTCCTCTCTCCTGCTCTTCAAGTCCCAGCTCAAAGTTACCTCCTCCAGGAAGCCTGTTGACACCCATGGGCGGTCACTCACTTCCTGCTCTGGAGCTGCACACCACTTGGCCCCCTTCCTCCCTGGCCTGATCCCTCTGCAAACTTCCACGGATAAGTCTCCATCTCCCATTTGCATGATGCTTCCAAGTGGAGGCAGTGGAGGAGCTGCCCTAACCAAGGACGAGAATCTCTCACGAGCAGCCCAGGAATGGGTGTGTGTGGGGAGGTGGCGGTTGGGTGCAGGCAATGCGGGGCCCAGCTCCTGGGCCACAGCAGGCGCCCCACCAATGTGAGCTTCCCATTCACAGGGTTCCAGACACCCTCAAGGACAGATGGGCATGGAACATAGAAATATTTCAAAACCTTCACTGCAAAACCCAGGGAGGCAGTGATCTGCCCCACACGGCTTTCAACTTTTCTGTATGCTTGAACATTTTCGTAATGAAACATTGAGGGAAAACAATCCTCAAAAGCATTCTCAATGCCCTGCTATTCCTCCCCTGGACCCACCACCTAATGCCGGCCACAGGCAACTCCCGCGTCTGATCTCCCTACGCGGAAGTGGCCCTCCGCATTTTCATGGAGAGAGACAGCAACTCAGACAGTCTGGGGCTATTACTTGGAAAGTCTGAGCAGCAGGGAAGTGGCTGAGGCAGGGCTGGGACTCTGCCAGCCTGCTGCAGGGACAGGGCTAACTGCTCAGGAGCCACCCATGGGGGCCTGTGGGGTCCCCAGCAGAAGGCCAGAGGCTGGAGAGAGGCGTTGCCAACCTCAAGGCAGCAGCCGTTTCCTGAAGAAAACAGAAGCACCCAACATTTGCCATAACTGGCCCGGTGCATCCTGCTGGAGTATCCACCCCTCGGAGGGCAAGATTCAAACTCCCATGGCCTTGTTGCCTCAGAGCTTCCATTCAAGCCACTTGGTTGCAGCCTGGCCTGGGTCTGCCCTGGGCAGGGCAGCACACTGGAGACCCCCTGACCTGGGGTTGCCTCCCCGCCCCACCCGTAGCCTCCGCTCCATTTCAGTTA